AAACTCAATGTACTCTATCTAAGTGGAGAGTCATCTCTACAGGTCTGTTCAGATGGTTTTATGTCCCACTGAAGACCTGTGGCATCTAATCCAACACCAAGGATAGCAGACCCCTTGAAAGAGGAACTGATCTCCCCTTCTCAGTCTCTTCAGCCTCATCTTACTGAAAACACCCTAGAAAAGAGACGGGGTCCCTAAAAGCTACAATTTCAATTTGATGTCAATAGATTTTATTTGTATGATAATTATTTAATAAGTATGTAAGTATGAAAAGAAACGTCTTGCCCTAAACATGTAAACTAGCTGATTAGAGTAGACATTTTGCAATTCTGACTTAAGTTATGTGACAAAGCTAAAGTAAGTTTTGCATTTGTATGGAAAATATATAATAACAATATAAATCAAATCTTCTGTTTGCCAAATCTTCTCATTGCCAATAATCACTGCAACCCAAATTGGGTCATTTGTTTCCTTAACTGTCATGGTCATACACATCTGTTTCCCAAATGATACCATGACTTACTCAAAGAGAACCAAGCTAGATCTTCTTTAACTTAGGCTCTTGTCTATCAATTAATGCATGTCAAAAAAAAGAATAAATGTAATATTTTCCATAATGTACCTTTTACCAAGAGGAAGTTTTCCTGGAAAATGATGGTAAGGTTCTTACCAGATGGAGGGTTAATGGATTTGGGATAATGCAAGTAAATGGAAGGGAATTTATTTATGAACAATGAAAAGTAAAGTTTCACTGGAACATGCTGTACATTTGGAGGATGTACTGCAAAATGAAATTAGAAAAAAGGCAAGTGTGATTTATATTACACAGTATAGCTGAAATAATGCTTGTTGAAATTTAATTATTTTTAAGTATCCATCTTGGACTCACTAAATAAACTAATAGTGAAGTATGACAGAATTTGCTTTTGTGATATGAATAACAACTAGCAATCTGCTTAATTTTTAAGTTTGTATATTTGTACTTTTTTTCATTTAAATCCTAGAATAACTATAACTAGGGATGTTTTCTTATAAATACAAGAGACTTTGGAAGGATTTTTATACTCAGAAAGTACATACTGAGAGAATAAGCTTGCAAGGCTCAGCAATAAAGCAAGGTTTAATTTGAATATTCCCCTAAATTATTCAACATTATTCAATTAAATGGAAATATCTCATAAATCCTTGTTTAAAAAAACACAGTAGCATAATGTAACATGTCTTTGTTTAAGATCTGATCAGAAGGCAGTGAAGGCTTTACTGAATCAGTGTTAAATACATGAGATATATGCAAAATTGATTTTTTTAAAAAGTGGTATAAACTGTGATTACCATTTTGGTGAGGCCTGGGTTGGTAATGATATGGTATCAATACTTTAATTCATACTTGATTGGGGAGTTTGAAAACACAGATGTAAATCTTATGGAAAGTGCAGCCGGGGACTATTATAAACACTATAATTTAGGTGGTATTTTAATATGATCTTGTTATTCTCCGATCTTACCGTCTAAAATGTCAGGAAAACGCAAGTGGTTTCCATTGCAGCCAGAGAAACTTAGGTAACAAAATAAAATATAAAGAATTTTAATCCGGTTAAGGAATTAATAGAGAAAAGCCAAAAGGGTATGGGAAGTCAGCCCCGGAGATGCTGAAGAGCAAGATAAATGTCCCTCTGTCTGGCATGGTTTCTGTGTGGCTTGCCTGCAGGAAGAGGACTAAGATCCGCTAATCTGCAAAATTTCCACAGCATCAGTTTCATATTGTCAGGATACTGCCTTGAGCATAGTTAGCCAATCCACCCGATTAAAGAAAGTCCTTCCAGTGAAAGTCTTCTAATAACTGGAATTTGCTCTGAGTAAGGCCTGACTGTGGTAAATCCAATAAGCCCAATACGGTGCATCAGGTTGGCTTTTAGTGCTAAACAAAATACCACCTTGATGCCACCTAAGCACATATTCCTTCTGTCTAACCTTTGTTTTTTTTCTCTTTTACTCTCAATGACCAGGAACAGTAGCCATCCTGGCACCAAACAGGATTGTCCAGATTGTAAATGCACATCCTGGAATGCAAATAGGTCTGTACCTCTCCTTCCCACACTGGATATTACTAATATTAATGCAAATATTTTTGGCCTTTATTGAGGCATTACTTGATAATGTATGGTCACCCCTTTAATAATATTATGAATTCAAGTTTACCCTCATATTAAATATACTTTACCAGATATATATATTTTTCACTTTTTTTTCTTTTTTATTTTATTTTTTTAAATTTGCTTTACTGCTTAAGGTATTACAAAGAGTATTACATATGTCTCCTTTTTTTCCCCCTTGACATTCCCCCGGCCTCCCCTACCCCACAGTGTCTTGTGTCCATTGGTTATGCTTATATGCATGCATACAAGTCCTTTTAAGAGATCAACCAGATATATTTTTAACTTTTAATGAAAAAAATTGAACTTTATATAAAGACCCATGAAATTGGACATTTTTTGAACACTGTAGTTTGAACTATATTTTAATTATAGTTCAAACTATATTCATTAGCTATGATCCTAATGAATTAAATAAACCTAAAAATGCATTGTGGTATTCCAACATTGCTCTGATAGTCTTTCCCATTGTTACATGAAAGGCAGTAAAAATAGTGGGAATAAATTGTATCTTTGTACAGCCTCTTTAGTAAATTCTGACTTCCTCCATCCCACCCTTGCCACTATTTGTGAATACAAACCAACCTTTCCAAAGATTCCTTTATATTTTCTTTTATAAACTCTTTCCTACAGAATTCCCTAATAACTTCAAACAATCCTTTTTTTTATCTCTTGCTCTCCTCAGCACCTATAGCACTTAATATCAGCATCTTGGGTGAGTCATTTAGCACTTTCTGATATATTTTATTTTTCCATTCTGTAGCTCATGTCTAAATAACCCCTAATAGACATGGGTTTCTTATCCATTACTACTATTGCAAATGCCCTGCTTCTCTGTCTTCTTACTCTATCTTTTCCAAGGTTAACTTCTATCTGTTGATTAGTGAGTACTTGCAGAATGAAAAGCACTCTATTTCACAGCATTTTACTCCTATAAACAGTCTTGTGCATATCTTTCTCCTCTAAGACTCACAACAAAACCAAGCAATTATTATGTTCATTTTATAAAAGTGAAAACTAACGCTAAGTTTACTAATTTGTCATAGCTCCAAATCCAATAAATACCAAAAGATTCTGAGACTCCAGTACTAATCTCATCTCATCGAATACATAATAACTCTCTTTAATTTTGGGGTGGGTGGGGATAATGCATGTGGGAAAAAAAGATTTTCAAAAATCCTGCTAAGTCCATAATGCATTCCCTTCAGCACACTGGCTAGCACTTCACTTTTTTGTTATCTCTAAACTTTTAAAATCACATTTTTTAAGGATAAGAGAGGAGGATATTAGCAAGAATCTCACCATGACCTGCATCCTGTTCCAAACTGTATCCTTAAATTTGGCAGAAGGATTACTTATAGACTTGGATTCCTTGAATATCTTTCCTAAGAAGCAAAAGCCACCTGTTTTAAGGACTTAGAGATAATACTATGGTAAGATTGTAAGTGCATTCCCAAAGGGTGGTCAACTGTAGCCATTACTATCCTTTTACAGTGACAAATAGGCAACTTGAGTAGGTGCTACATAGGATCTTTATGTTCCGACATAATATACAGAGGCCGTTTTGAACACTCTACATCGCCGAGTCTACAGGAAGACTTCCCGGAGCCCTAGCTAAAGAAGATAAAGAGAAAGCAAATAAAATCCTTTGAACATGTAAAACACTCATAAAAAACTAGGGCCACGATTTCAATGGCTCTACACAGTTACATCCAGAAGCCTCTATTTTTCTCTTGATTTGTACATGTAGAAAGTACACATTTAAAACAAAAACCATTTACATGGAAGAGAAGCTATAGAAGCCAAGACGTGTAGCATTATAAACAATCATCCTCTTTGACGAGGAAGAACACCTGTCTCACGTTTTCCATTGAAAAAAATGTTGGATCCCACCATGGAGAATCCTGAATATAAGTTAATTCTTGACACAGCCCCTGCCCTGTTTATGACCAGTTAAAAAGTACTGAATTCCTGATAGTTAATCTCAGCACTCAGGGGCTTCTCTCCTCTACATTTCAAGCTAATGCAAAGGATAAGGAAACATTTTATGCCCTCACTTTCACAGTCAATCCAAAACCATCATTTTCAAAGGATAATATGGTATTTTAAAATGTATAAAAGTATATACTGGCAATATTAGTATTGCCACTGAGATTTTAAATCCAATACATATCACCAGAGCCACGGGCACTTAGAACAAACACTACAGTTTAAAGATTGATCAAGGGAACATACAGAAAGCAGTATTCTTTTTCTTGTTCCTTTTTAAAGAAGGTTATGCATATATTCTTCCATAAAGATATGAAGGAAAATAGATGTAAGAAAAATATTCACACAAAGGGAAATGCATAATTTTTCTCCTCTCACATTGTTGGTGTTTAATGAAAATGGTGATCTAAAAGCTATTTTAGAAAGCTATAGCTCTAGGCTGTAGGTATCTCTAACGAGAAAATATTATCTAGTCTTTCTGGAAAAAATAGTTTATAGTCTGCATATCCAATAAACAGCAGTAACAACCGAAAAGGGAGTTATTGAAATAAGCTGACAGTAAAAGGCAAAAAATACATTGCAAATATCTTTTAATCAAATCACTTCTCAGATTTAACAAGATTAATCACAAGGTTTGAAGAATGAATTTGATAACCAGTTCAGATTCAAGACATCTAAATGAGAATCCTTGCCGATAAATTGTGAAAACAATATAAAACTTACTTTACAAGCTCTCCTAATCAAGCATAAAGATACATTGGGCTTTCACCACTTCTCATTACTGTTTCTTTAATATAAATTTAACATTAAAATAGGATGGCTTTAAAAACCCGTATACATTTTTTAAAAACTACTTACAAATTTTTAATGTCTACTGCTCCACGGAAAGCCTTCCTTGGAATTGCCTGAATTTGGTTTTCACTGAGGTCTCTAAAAAATAACAAAAAAAGAGAATAAGATCAAGCTATAATATATTTAATTATTTTAATCAATTTATTTGAGAAGCGATAGAATACTTCTAAAAATGTACTAAAAACATCATAATGAAACCCATAGCATTACATGCAATTTCTAATACAAACATTTTATATTTCTCGTATAAATTACAAGGTTAGACTAAATGGTGTTTTGAAGTACTTTTCCAGATCTTTAATTGCATAATTAATTCTAGAATATGGTTCTCTTAAATTTAAGAGTTGATTCAATTCTGTGCAATAAAATATTTATTCAAAACAAATAGCAAATTTTTCATAACTCAATTTCAAGGGGTTCTAAAGTGTTAGCACTGATATTTCTACATCACTGACATAACTTACAAAGTATATAGGAAAGCAGTCCATTTTAACATCCCAGAGAAGAGAGTGCAAAACCTGATAAAATCTGGGCAGTATGATTAAGTTTTCATAACACTTTAAGTAATCTTGAAAATGGAACATGGCAGTACTAACCCAACAATAAAACCAACAGTTCTTGCATGAAATATTAATAGCAAGTTGAATTAAAACCTTCTTTAAATAATTCTATTATAACCATAAACACAGCCTGTCTGTATTTGCATTTTAATTTAATTGAGAAATACATTTTAATCAAAGGAGAAAAGCACTCTAAGTTGGAATGAGAAGTTAGTAAAAAAAATCACTCATCTCATGAAATAGAACATTATTTTACCTTCCGAGTTCGGATGCAATTCCATGTGCTCACGTAGTGTTATTAGCCTTAACAAGTAGGATATAAATACACAATGAGCAATGCCACTGGAAAGCAGAAAATGCTTGCCTCATTTTAAGCAACACTACTACATAGCAGAAAGTTGAAATATCAAATAAATAAATGATTAAAATAACCAAAATGGAGCTAAAATTATCACTAAAATTTTAAGATAACTGCTGCTCAAGAAGAAATGCAAAGCTACGAACCATGGAGCATAGCTGATGAAAACAGAGCCATTTTCCAGCGATGTGGAGGCAAACTGGACAGATTCATACTAAAGCTTCTCATGGCCAGAGCTCCCTGTTCACACACTTACGGCCACGCAATAAGGATAATTGGCAGATGGAAAGATTTAGTGTGTGGTCCTGACCTCATTAACACTAAGTTTTAAACAACTAAGATTTGCATTTATATCTCACTATCCAGTGTTCAAATAAAAATGTTTGCTAAGCAATTTGTAAAGAAATAAATATTAGTCTATTTAAAGAGTAAAGGTCTTTAGTTAAAAAAAAAGGAAGCAAAAACACATACATTATTTCCAACAGTAAACGTGCAGTATGTGCTCGAGTGGAAGTTCAGGCAGCCACCCATTCCCTAAGCACTGGGCTCTGTCACTGCTTCCAACCGTTTTGGGAAATCCCTAAGAGTGATAAAGCTTCATTTCCTTAAAAAGTCCTTATTTCCCTAGCTTGTCTTTAATTGAGACCAACTTCCTTACTTTGTTTACTTCCTTACTTTGTTTAATTACAGAGAGTTAACGATATGTATTTAAAAGTCCCGATACTAGAAACAGTGTTCGAAGGAGGCTACTGAGCAAGGAGAAGGTAAAGGGAGATATTGGAGAAAGAAAAAACATCAGAAAGTAATAAGAAATGAAGAGGGACAAAAGATTGAATTCAAGCAAATTTGAATCTATAATGCTCCCTGAAAACCAACAGTAGTGGTTCTACTGTTGTGTCGCTATTAATTCAATGTATTCCCATCCAGCCAGCCGGAGCCATTTCATTCACCACCTGCGGACTCACCTCTGCTGAGTCTCTAGCACAATTTATCCCGGGGTCACAGTCTCAAATGGGGAGACGTGGAGCCGGGGGAAAGGCAGGGGATGTTTATGTGGAGCATGAGACATCACTGAGGATCCGTGGATTGCAATCAGAACCCATTCCTTCCGAATTTGATTTTAGTCCTTCTGGTTTAGTTCTTTTGGTTTTAGGCAGAATTCTAGGACAGGGAAGGGTTTTACCTGCAAACCCTTACCAGTCTGTTCTTTTTACAAAAGAGTGAGCAACTGTCTGTTTCAGAGGCTCCTTCGTCCCCTAAGGTCAGTGGTGTACGTGTGGATTATGTACATTACTTCCCATTACACAGGGGTCTCTGCCTGTGCCAGCCCACTATTCAGGCAACGCCAGTGTGGATTCCAGGTCCCTTCAGGAAAGTGGGCATGGTCACTCATGACAGGAGGAAGTTGCTAAACACATTTTCAGTGCCTATTGTATTCAATATTTAATTTTAAGAAATAATAGAGGATCACATTTGATCTATATTTCCTTTAATCTCCATAACCATCATGTACAGTAGGTATTATTATCCTGGTTTTACAGGAAAGGAAACTAAGCTTCAGGGATGTCAGGCATTAGTGCTAAACGATGAGACAGATTGTTAAAGTAAAGGTATACAAACAAAACAGATACATATTGAGTCTAGGTTTAGGGCATTTAAAGGTGATACCAGGAGGTACTTGATCAATCTCAATGTGTCCTTACTGTGGCTTAGAATTTAGAAGGCTTTTTCTTAATGCATTCTAGCCTCTGATTTATGTAATTTGCAAAATGATGGGTAAGATGGTGTTAGAAGAAAGGCTCGTATTTTCTACATAGAATCAAGTGGGGATTAGCTGTTATTTCTATCCAACACATTGATTTAATATGTGCAAGAAACTGGATGATGTTGCAAGGATTGCTGAGCTGTGTAAAGCCCATTCCTGGCTTCCGGAATTTTCAAATCCAGTAAAGATCCATGCTCCTAGCCAAATGAGATCTAAAAAGTGAGAAAACAAGAGTAAGAAGAAAGGTAATGTGAATGTGTTAAGATGTAAAGGTAGAGGGCAGGGCGAGGGTCAGCACTTCCAGTAAAACAAATTGCACAAGCAAGAATATGGAGGTGGAAAAACAGAACATTTATGGAAGTAGCTTTTGGTCCGGTTTGTTTAGAGTGGAGTAATGGGAGATGAGGTTGGAAGGACAAGTTGATGGTATAGACTTTTTGGTACCAATTAAGGAGCGAGCTCTTGTTTTAGCAATGGTAATAGATGAAAGGGTAATGGACAGAAACAGGACAGAGGCTCTTCCTTAGATAAAATAAACTGGCAACCAATACCTGGGGTCAAAGGCTCACATTCAGAAGACCACATACAAGACTCCTGCGCTGGCTGGAGAAAGGGTAGTGAGAATCTCAAGCAATACAAGAACCATTAACACATGGCTTGCTTTCCCTGGGCCAACTAATGGGTGAGGCATCTCTCGCTGTAGATAGAAAAGGTGGAGAAGATACCCAGTGGCATCAGAGACACATGAAGAACCAAAACGTAGAAGTAAATTGTCTGTGAATATGGATTAGGCAAGTGAGAGAGGAGACAGAAGTGACTTTGAACTTAGGTTCGGGGACTGTAAACAAAATTGGGAAATCAGAAGAGCAAGTTGCTGTGTCCATTATGAGTTAGAACAGCGGTTCTCAACCTGTGGGTCGTGACCCCTTTGGGGGTCGAACGACCCTTTCACAGGGGTCGCCTAAGACCATCGAAAAACACATACATAATTACATACTGTTTTTGTGATTAATCACTATGCTTTAATTATGTTCAATTTGTAACAATGAAATTGGGGGTCACCACAACATGAGGAACTGTATTAAAGGGTCGCGGCATTAGGAAGGTTGGGAACCACTGAGTTAGAGAGATGTGATATATATCACCCAGTTTTATGGCAACAAAGTTAATATATGGTAAATAGACCACACGTGGTACCTGAGAAAGGTGATCTAGGAGATCACAGTGGTACTGAGTCATTGGAGGCTTGATGGATTCAAGCCACTTTCAAAATACAATGGGACCCTTTTGAACCTTGATAAAAATGATTGAGCTCAGTAATTCTCGTCTCCAGTAATGGGGGCTGGTGATGAGGGGCAGGAATCCAAGAAGAGAGGCAGTATGCCAAAAGAATTACCAGCCTAGACTGCAGACCTCAACTATTAAATTATATCTCTGCCATTTATTAACCAGTAGAGGCCCAGTGCATGGATTCGTGCACCAGTGGGGTCCCTAGGCCTGGCCTGCAGGGATCAGGCTGAAACCTGCTCTCCAACATCCCCCAAGGGTCCCAGAATGCGAGAGGGCGCTGACCAGACCAAGGGACCCCACCTGTGCATGATGGGGACTGGGAGGGACCGTGGGAGGGCTCCAGGGCGTGTCCCGATCCACCAGACCCCAGCAGCAAGCTAACCTACCAGTCAGAGTGTCTGCCCCCTGGTGGTCAGTGCACATCATAGTGACTGGTCGAACAAATGGTCAGACACTTAGCATATTAGGCTTTTATTATATAGGATGTGACCTTGGGAAGTTTGTATACCCTTTTTGTGCTTCAGTTTCTTCAGCTGTAAAATGAAACAATAATTGTGTCTACTTCCTAGGACTGTTAGGTGGATTCAATGAATTCATACTTTAAAAAATGCTCAAAAATACCTGCCACATAATAAGCGCTATAGAGAATTGATGGATATATATATATATATATATATATATATATATATATATAATCTCACAATTATTCCATTAGGCAATGCTACATAGCCCTGAGTGGATTTGCTTTGTTCCCTGAAGATTATAGAAGAAAAAGTGAAACATAACTTATGGTAATGTTTTGTGAACTGTGTGGAACGAGAGGAATGAGTCAGAACTACTGAGTTAGCGAGATGGAGCTGCCAAGGATGGTCTGTAATTATATCACTAGGCAATAGAGTGTAAAAATGTATTCCAAAGCAGGGAAGTGGCTTGATTGGAGTTGATTTTTAGGAAGATTAAACTGGAAATTAAATTTCAGAGCAGGCAGGGACAATGAGCAATGAAGTCATATTGGGCAGTGTTGGTGGAGAAAGATCGGTCCCCAGTGAACTAGGAAATTCTACTTGGAGAATGTTGAGTAATAAATTTGGGAGTTGGCCCCAGG